CTTGTTAATTCAAACCATGTGAAGGTTAGTGTTAATTTTAAGGACAATCAGAGCCCCGAAGTTTTCTCTCCCCCCTTCTACCCCCAACCGAAATTTAACAACAAAAACAACGACGACAACAACAACAAAAAGAAAAATAGAAAAGAGTTCTGGTTAATGTAAGAGAGGATGTGGCCCAGAGGCTGGGAGATGGGCGCAGAGGAAAACATGTTATTTATCTAAGCTTTGACCTAGAGGTAGTCTCAAGGATGTAATCATTTCAAACTGCAGCTTTTTTTTTTAAAAACAAATAGATTATTTTTCTCATTAAGAAAGTGCAGAAGGAAGTGCAGGGGCTCAGCTGCACATACCTCACTCCTCTTTCTTTCTTCCTTTCTTTCTTGTATTTTTAACTCTCTTTTTTTTTTTTTTTTTTTGCTGCAAATGTCCATCTCGACTTGTTTCAAACCCAACCTCTGTGTTTGCAGAGGCAAATATCCCTCTGGCTGGCTGTGCTTTGCAGGCACACAGCCCTGAGAGAAAGGACAGGGAGGGGGGGGGATTGAAGGAAAAAAATGAAAAATCCCATTCTCAGGGTGGAAATAGGAAGAGCCTGAGTTTGGATTTTTAGGGGGAACAATATTTGGAAAAGGAAAGAGGAGTTGGGTGTTTTGAGGAAGGAAAGAAAGAAAGAAAGAGCAAAAGAGAGAGAGGAAATAGACAGAAAGAGAGAGATGAAGATGGAAAGGAAGAAAGAAAGAAAAGGCAGAAAGTCAGAAAGAAAGAAAGAAGGAAGGAAAGAAAGAAAAGGAAGAAAGAAATAAAGAAGGAAAGAGAAAGAAATAGGGAGGAGAAAGGCTGGAGAGGTTTTTATGGTGGACAATGCACCTTTCATAGGAAAATATATAAATATATATATTTTTTTTAAATAAAATGGAGCTGCCCACCAGGACTCACCATCCAGAATCACCTTTTTGGGAAACTGGAAAGGTCTTTTTCTTTTTTCTTTTTTTTTTTTTTTTTTTTTTTTTTTGCTTGACACACACACACACACACCTCCCTGCACCCAGCCAAGCAGCATTCCCCAGGAAGAGCCAGGGAAGGGCAGTTTTGCCCATTAATAGCAATATTAGCCCCATGGTTATTAATAATAACCCAGCGACTTCCCTTTAGTGCCTTTAATATGCAAAAGATTGAGATTTTTTTATTATTATATATTTTTTTTAGGGAGGCAGTAGGTTTTCTAGGAAAATTGAGATGAGGGGAGCTGGGATGGAAGGGGGTGGGGGGAGGAAAGGAGGAGTAGAACCTCCAAAAATGGGGAAAATTAAGAAGTTATTTGCTTTTTGTGTCCTACAGCTCCCGGAAGACGCAGTGGCAGACAAACTTACAGCCGGTACCAGACCCTGGAGTTAGAAAAGGAGTTCCTCTTCAACCCGTATTTGACACGAAAGCGGCGGATTGAGGTCTCTCACGCCCTGGGACTGACCGAGAGACAAGTGAAGATCTGGTTCCAAAACAGGAGGATGAAGTGGAAAAAAGAAAACAATAAAGATAAGCTGCCGGGGGCCAGGGATGAGGAGAAAACGGAAGAAGAAGGGAATGAAGAAGAGGAAAAAGAAGAGGAGGAAAAAGAAGAAAGCAAGGACTGAGTTCTCAGCCCCTTGAAGTCTCGTTTTATGGCAGATGATAAATCGAGATGTTTACGACGGTCATTTGCTTTTATAGAGTATAGAATGGAGAGGCTCACACAGCAGTAACTACCTGTCAAACAGTTGTAGCCTTTTTTATTGTCATAGAAACTTCCCCTACTTCTTTCCCCACCACCACCACCACTCCTCTT